CTCAAAATGCTGGAAAGTTACCCTCACAAATGATCATAAATCCCAAAGAGAATGTTTGCGCAATGATGTTAAGAAGTGGTAAAGAGATCCAAGCAAGTCCACCTTCACCAGTGAAAGAGGTAGAGGAGAAAGAAATGGAAGAAATCAACAAAGAATCTTCCAAAACTTCAGCAGAGGAAAAACTAAATCCTTCATGGCGTAATACTTATTATAAACCTATTCCTCCATTTCCTACTAGGTTGATGGAAGATAAAAAAGCTGAACTTGAAGAAGAGACATTGAACACTTTCAAAAAGGTAACGATCAACATTCCATTGTTGGAAGCTATTAAGGAAATTCCCAAGTATGCAAAATTCCTAAAAGAGTGGTGCACGAAGAAGAAGAAGTTCAAAAATAAAGAAAGTGTCAAAGTAAGTGAAAATGTTTCTGCTATCATGCAAAGAAAATTACCAGAAAAATGCTCGGATCCAGGTGTGTTTACAATTTCGTGCATTATTGGTGATAAGAAAATTGAATTTGGTATGAAAGATTTAGGAGCATCTATTAATGTGATGTCATTTTTCCTATATAATTCTTTAAATTTGGGACCACTAAAACACACAAATGTGGTTATTCAACTTGCAGATGGTTTGCACGTTTATCCAGGAGGAATTTTAGAAGATGTTTTAGTACAAGTTGATGAACTAATTTTTCCTGCAGATTTTTACATTGTAAAAATGGAAAATGGTCATGCAAGTTCAACTCCAATTTTGTTAGGAAGGCCATTCATGAAAACAGCAAAAACTAGAATTGATGTCGATAAAGGCATTATTTCTGTTGAATGTGATGGTGATATAGTTGAATTTAATGTTTCTAAAGCATTAACAGTTTTTAGTAATTCACATTCTGTTTGTGCTAATGATGTTAATTTGATTGGTGTAGGGTAATCATGTTGAGCTGAATGTCGAGCATAACGACATAAAACAATTGCACTTTTGGGAGGCAACCCAAGTTTAAAGTTTCTTTCATTTTGATTTGGTTCAAAGTTTACTTGTTTTATTTGTTTTCAGTTTGTTTTCATTAAAATAAATAAATAAATAAAATTAAAAATTAAAAATTAAAAAATCAGAAAAAAATAATAACTTAAGCATTTTTTTGTTTATTTATCCTTTTTCTTTTGTTTTCAGGAGCTCATTTGCTTATGATGAAATTGCAACTACTCTTCATTATCCCCATCATTGGCGATTGCTTTCACATTATGAACCATGTAGCTGCTTGTGGTATAAACTCCAAGTCTTTACATCTCAAAAGAAATTCTTCAGGGAGCTCCCAAAACTCAATTCTTATGCAGTTATTATTAATTTACTGATTGCTTTGTTGGCTATTTTTTTAAAGTGGTTGAATTGGTTCTTTATAAAGTTGAATGATGTTTGACTAGAAAATTTGCATGTCTAAGTGCTACTATATTTTCTATCTTTTTCTAGCTCTGCATTTTTCTTATTTGGCACTTAAAAGATGTTATTCCAAGCTCCTTGTTTACTTCTTATCTGTGCAAATATGTTGTCTTACATTGAGGAAAATGTAAAAATTAGGTGTGGGGGAGGATTTCCTTGTTGCTAAATGTTTTCATAAACCCCTACATTGGTTTTAATGTCAAAATCCCCAAATTTTTCAAAAATTTTGGCTCTCTATATGTGCTAATTTGTCAATTTCTTTCAAATGATTTAGAGCCAAAATATTTTTGTGTATCCCATTAATTTTAATGGTTAAGAATGTGCCATATTTGATGCAAATTTAACCCTTTCTGTGAGTTTCCAAAGCCAAAGAGCACACTTGCTCAATTTTCGAGTGTATCATTCATAGTATGTTACTACACTGTTTTGCTCATGTCATATATTTCATAACTGCATTGATGAATTTGTGCAATAAATGATAAGGGCATTTAGGATTCGTCAAGTTTAGCTACCGCAACCGGTATGTCTTACTTAGTTGAAGTTTTTGTATTCTTGCTGAAATTGTGTTTATATATAAGGAAGCGTTTAGCCTGAGGATGATGTTTGTTGTTAAATTTATGTTGTTTTTGCTTCCATATACGAAGAAGAATATGTTAGAGGCTGACCTAAATTTGGAGTTGTTTTAGAGAATTAAACTTCCCCTGAATCTGTGTTGGCTCAACTAACCGTCTTAGTGTAATACACAGTATTCAAATTTTTTATTTGACCTGCCCGTGGATCTTATTTGCTAACATCAACTTTGAACTCTGTGGTGACCTTTGGAGAATATGCATATAATCTGTTATTTGAACTCTATGAGCTTCAAGTTTTGATAGACATAAGGAGTGGTATTAGTCAGAGTTTAGGAGTACAAATACCCGCAGAATTTCTAATTATTAGTTCTTCTTCTTCTGCTGCCATTTCACTTCTCTTTCTATCTCTCCATATCACTCTATTAACACATCTTTGAGAGCTTTCTCTCAACTTGCCTCTCTTTATTCCCTTTCTCCGCTCTTCTTATTTTTCTTTCTTCTCTCTGGATTGGTGGGATTGGTTTTCCTCTCAATGGCCTCTCAGATTTACCAACTTTTTAATGATTCTCTCTAAAGGGTACTTTTGTTATTGTTATTGTTATTCCTTCTTTTTTTCTTTATATATTGTGAATTTGGTTATGTTCTTTACATCAATTCGATCCAAACCATGAAGTCCTTGTTTCTTACTACCTGAATTTTGCATTTATTTTCTGAAATTTTGAGGTGTATTTGATTTGTTTGTTGCATGGCTTTTTCTTTTAGTACTGGATTCTCTCTACCCTTTTTAAGGCTTAATTGGCTTTGATAGCTGAAGGGTAATTGCTATTCTTTTTTATAGTATTTTCTTACTCCGTTCATAAGAAGTTGCTAAAGTTACTTACTTGAAAGCTGCTAAAATTACTCTTATATGTTCCCATCATTTTTGTGGTTTTTTCGGTGTGTAAACATGGTCTAGAGTCTGCTCAAGATATTCTGTGTTTGAAATTCACGGCCAACAAAATACTTATTGTGCCTTGACTAACTTTTGCTGATAATTGTTTACTCTTACTTTGATAGCCCTGATTAGTTTTTATTTACAGGGGCATTTCTCTCCTTTTTTTTGGTATAGTTACCAAAGGAAATTGTTTTGATTTGTTTGTTTAATTTGGATCTGGATATTTTACTTGATGACCAATCCATAAGTTATAATTGATCTTCTTTATATGTTGTGAATAAATTGCTCACCTATTCTTGTCAGAGCATCCATTTTGCTGATGAGCTATGGGTTTTTGGCACTGTTTCTGATAAGCAACCAGCAGTAGCTTAACCAAATTCATGGATTACCATCTAATCAAACTCCATTCTAATTTTAACAGTGCCTCTTTCTATTTCATTGCAGAACAGAATTGGTAAAGCCAAGCAAGAATAGTAAAGATTTACATTGACCTTATTGGAAAGTGCAACTCGTTGAAGTTCATATGGGCCTTCATAAGCCAACGCTTACCCCTAAGGTTAGTCTTTTAAAGGTTTGTAGTTTTTTTTTAGCTTGGAAAATGAATAGGTTCTTTACTGAACCCCTCCCTGTGCACTTCACTATGGATTTTAAATTTATCTTTCCTGCTGATGTGAAGTACAAAAAATTTAGGTATAATTTGTCTGGTTTCTTGGGTGACACAGCGAAAAATTAATGAGGAACCAGATTGGCATGGACTTAATTAGAAGTGGAAACTATAAGGTTAAGATTAGTATGGAATTCTTTTAGTGAAGACATCACTATAATAGTAGGAATACTCTAATCTACAAAGTGTCAATTGTGTGTAGTCAAAATAATAGGAATATGAAAAGAATGCCTAATTGCATGCTCTCAGTTAGGGGCACCATTTTCTTGTGCACTTTCTGTTTCCTACATTCTTTGAATTACATTACCACATCTTATTTAATAATATAAATTTGTTTTATACTTGTTTCAACAGTTTCGAAAGTGCGTTAAAGTTTCCAAAGTGCGTTGATGATCGAGAGAATTAGTTAAGAATGTCTACTTCAGAAAGCACATCTGGAAGCAGGTATCTTTCTTAACATTATATGATTGTTATTTGGCTATCAGTTATTTCATTTCTTGTGCTTTTTGTATTTTGAGTCTTCTATTTTCCAACTTCTTTTGCCTCTTGTGTAAATCTGTGTGAAATTATTTTTCGCTTTCTGACATATTAATGACGAGAAAAAGAAAATATAGTTCTGTTGAACAACGTATAGAGGTAAGAAATAATTGTCGTAGGAGGCGTAGGAATAAGCAAATGGTTGATCCTTTACAATGTATAGCAAGTAGTCCTGATCTATTGGGAAGTGTAGCAAACTGCCAATTTTGTGGTGCAAGGCGTTTGTACGCTGAACCATCGGGTTTCTGTTGTTTGTCCGGGGAAATAAAATTGCAAGAAACAATCATGCCACCAGCTTTAGTACACTTATATAATGAAAATTCGGAAGAATGCAAACATTTTCAAACTTGTGTTCGAAGTTATAATAATATGTTTGCATTTACATCGTTGGGTGTTCATTATAATAAATTTTTAGCCCAGAGAAATGAAGAATTTTACACATTCCGTGTTCAAGGCCAGTTGTACCATTTCATCCCGCTGCCGTCATTCTCCGCCGCGTCACTACCTCAATGCCAACCATCAAAACTACACCAACAAAGCTCATCTAATCAACGGCACTAGTGTACAAGTTCTATTTGAACTTTTATAAGTTTTTATGTTTTGTTATGTTTTGCTTTCTTTTGGGTTCCATTCGAATTTTGCAATATTCTTGCTGAGCTCTGAAGCATTCATTTTGAGCAAAAACCTTTATATTTATTTATTTATTTTTATTTTTTTAAAAAATGCATATCCCAATTCTTAGAAGTCGGGAAAATCATCCATATATACTTCACGTGAGAATAATAAATGAATTGGGCTTCTTTTTATTACTGCTAGGCTGCCATTGATGAGAATACGAAATTGGTAGGGTTATTTGAACAATGGAGATCACGCTGGTGACATTGTTAAGGGTGGCTTGGATTAGGGGGACTTTGCCTATTCTGATTGCTTCAATCCCTTCGTCTAAGCTCAATTGGTTTCATGATTTGCTGTCGGGCTTTGCAAAACGTGGCAAGACTCTGCAATCATCATCTAGTGTAAGTTTGCTTTACCCCCGTGATATAAGCTTGTTGTTTCAAACGATTTGGCTCAAAGTTGTGTTTTATGTTGAGAAAAAATAAAACTTGGATTAAAATTAGCCTGCCTATATGTTGTTGGGTTGAAAATTAAGATGAGGAGAGTTGTCCATTCAGGGTTGAATTTTATTGTTTCTTCTCAATATGGATTACATAAGATATTGTGTGAAGACTTCATCTTTGATATTCTTGTTGTGTTTTCTACTTGGCAATACTGTGAGTGTTAAGATTCTGACTGATCATGTTTATTCAAAAAATCAGAGATTCACAGTCCCGCAGAGATTCTTAGGCCACTTTTATGTATTGGCTGTTATTTGGACAACAACTTTACTGGTTGCCACATGGGTTTACGCGTACAGCGTGACGCCATTAGTCTCTGAGCCAATGCAGTTTTCTAGCATTACCAGCTACTTAACTGGGGGTTCGCAGAGTTTTTGGTTGCATGAGTCCAGGTCGATGAAGCTGGAAAAAAGACGGGGGGTTTGGCTTTCTGTTTTTCTGCTTTTGTTGATGGAAGCTCAAGTATTAAGACGTCTTTATGAGACAATATATGTGTTTAAGTATAGTCCCTCCGCGAGGATGCACATCTTTGGCTATATCACCGGGTTATAGTAAGATCTCCTGTTTTGCCTGTCCCTTTCTTATTAATATTTTTCTGATAAAAATCTTGTGTATTTGTTTAGAAACCTAAATTTAATGGAGTAGGCTGTAATTTCCTTGTATGCACCAATCTTCATTGGGCGCGTCATGATGCTTTAGTGTTGCCGTATATTGTGTTATCAGAGAATTTATCACCGGCCTATCATATCCTCATGAATGCATTGGCTTTTTCTTTTGGAAACAATATCTCATAATACCGTTATATTTAGTTTTTTGCACGTTTGAGAAAATCCTTGGCCAATCAGTGTGTCCTTCTAGTTTTATTTGCACTAGATATATCCATTCCGTTGTTATTCTATTTTTTTTTCAAAAAAAAAACATATTTGACTTAATGCGGATTGTCTCTAAAAATCGTACATAGTTAATAAAGTTTGACTATAGGATATTTTCTCATTCATTGTCTTTTGTGATATCAGTTTTTATGCGGTTGCTCCATTATCACTTTGCTGTACTTACATGGCCGAAGTGTTCCATTACGCCTTGAACTTGATTCAAGAGTTCATAGTTAAGGGAAAGGATCAGATGCAAGTCACTGAAACTAATTGGTGGGGTTCGTGAACCCTCTTCTAAAGCTCAAATGGCATGCTTGGTTAGGGGCAATTATTTTTCTGCTAGGATGGATTCATCAGCGTCGAGGCCATGCCATTCTCGTAAGTTTAACTAGAAACTTTTTGTAATCGGGATTGTATGGAATTCTGTTTCATCGATTCTGTGAAACATACTCGCATCGATTTATCTTACAAAATAGAGCAATTCGAATTTTTATGTCCAAACCTGCATCTATCAAACTTTTTCTCTTAGCTTCTCAACATTGGTCACTTTTTGTTGAAGTTTTATGTGCCCATTTCCATTTTTAGAACAATATCAAGGTTTGTAACATTGTTTACAAAGACTCTTCTTTTAAGGTAATATTATGGTTTGGGAAGAAGTTACTGAGCAGTCTTATAATTGCATTTCGTTAACATGGTTTAGTGCGAGAAAAATCGGAAGGCAGTGATGATTATGTGATTCCTTACGGTGATTGGTTCAGATATGTTTCATTCCCTCATTACCTAGCTGAGATAGTATGTCTACTTTCCATTTTTGTGCAAACCTTCTGCCTCTGAAATCTGTTTCCTTGTTTTTTCCTTTTATTCTTTTATCAGAAACATGATATCTGTAACAGTTGATAAAAAATTTCTTATATGTTGAGTTTTCATGATATTGAAGGTGATATATGCTGGTATTCTGGTTGCTAGTGGATGCTCTGACATTACAGTGTGGTTGCTTTTTATCTTTGTCGTAAGACTTCCTTTCCCCTGGTTTCTTCTTGGTTATGAAAGTTAGTTCTCTTCAGGTCTTGTATCAATGCCAATGATTAATTTTTGCTTGAATCATTCTGATTTCAGGTGGCGAATCTTGTGTTTGCAGCAGCAGATACTCAACAATGGTATTTAAGAAAATTTGACAACTACCCTAGAGAGCGTTATGCTATAATTCCATGTATATATTAAGCCTGAAGGAAGAACCTTTATGTTTTATGTCAATACCGATGTGTGGAAATGCAAATGAACTTAGATTTTGTAAAATGAAGCATAATATGCAACTGTGGAGGTAAAATACCAGCATTTCAGATAAATGTAAATAGTTGTCTTTTTTTTTGGGGGGGGTAGTTCCAGGAAGTTTCTATCATTCAGCAGTTATTCAATTGATGCACAGTTTAGCAAGTTCAACAACAGATTAATCCCAATTGACTGTATATTCTGGCTGATTTGAAGCCCTAACTTTTTTTTTGGTGAAACATCATCATTAATTTAAGACATTAATAAACACCCAACGGTGAACACACAACAGACATGATCCTGTCTTGTGATTCCAGTGTCTGGGTCGGAAATCTTCCTCCTACTATGTTGCTGACGTCATCCACCAATTTTCAGGATACATCGGCATTGTTTTCCCCAATATAGAGGTCAGTAAGGTGAGAAATTTCTCTCTTTAGGTTCCTAATGATTGGGAACCTGCAATTAATTTATTAGAGATTTGAAGAAATTATTTGTTGGGTCAACTTGATTCTTCAACAAAATGATCGGTTGGGTTCCTCAAATTTGATTGATACTTGCGCATCTGAGTTTAATATGTTGTGGAGACTAGATTAATCATCTAGAGTAGAAGAACAAAACACTACAATTTACGGAGTTTTTCTCTTCCATTTTCGTTGGATTTTAGTGAGCATCGATTTCCTTCTACCTTAATTGTGGGGTTTGAAGTAAATGGATCAAATTAGAACCATTTTTTAATTTCCAGAAGTGGAAGTCTTGTTTGCATGTTAGGTGTTTGAATTTAGGTCTGAATGATTTTTGATAAGGGTTATTTTACTGTTTATCTATTTAACGTGCTTAATCGGAACCATTTTTGCTCTCACTGTGAACTTTTCTTTGGCTCCCTTTTCAGTGTTGCTCGATTTTTTAAATGAAAGTCAATATATTTCAGATACGAAGTGAAATTCAAAACAATTAAATTAGATGCGATTTCCAAATTATCCTTTATCCTTGATGTGTGGATTGTAGTTGCTACATATTTTGCCAATGTCTTGGGGCTACATTAGTGTATGCTGAGTATTAATTCACTATTTACATAAAACGGTGAGAAGAGTGATTATAATTTATTTATTATCCACTATTACATTTTGAACATATTGTGTACACTGTTGATTATGATTCCAATAAAATTGCAATAAATTAGCCAAATGACAGCAATTTAGTGATTGTTTGATTATTGGTATTAGAGAACTTTTTGCACTGGTTTTGGCCTATATTTGGCAGAAAAAATATCCTGCTGCTTGTCATTATTTTTTTCAAAAAGTGTTTGCTTTTTGGTGCATGCGAAGTAATACGGGTGTGCACTCTTCCTCTGTTACAAAAATTAGCCAGTTTGAAAATGATTAAGGGACTGCTAATATACGAATTTGACATACTCAATTTAGTTTGACTGAAAATGTAAGAGGCTGTAGAGTTAATGGATTACTGCAGTCCTTTTTCTCCATAAAGCAGCCAATTCCATGGTTCAAATGAGTGTATCAAGTTACTTTTGATTTGTTGTTCAAAAGAGAATCTTATTCTCTCCAAGTTTTCATTTGGTTTTCTTTGATTATTTTCCAAACTTTATTTAATTTGGTTTTGGAGATTGGAGCTCAACCAGTATGTTATTTTATTGATAATTTTAGTAATTCAATGATGAACTTAGTAAGAAGTTCATTCAGGGTCTTAATTGGGCTTTTTATTTCTTGATGAAGCTTTTCCGTACCATGATGTGTTTGATCCAAGTAATCTAAAGTTATTGTCTATAATTATGGATTTTGACATGGAATCACAATGCTTCAACTATTTAAATAGTGAATTATTGCAAGTTTCAGTTGAATGAAATTTTGGAAAGTCTAATTTGCAGTAAGGACTGGATATACCTTGATTCTTTAAATTTTTTCATGTGGTTATAATGATATGGGATTCTCATGGAATTTTCCTTAAGTTATAGTTTAGAAGAACTTCAAATCAATATTTGGAATCTATGGAACATGTCTTGGCATTGAATTTAATTTGAGTTGTAGTGGTGTCACTCAATTGTGTTAGAAATGGGAGTCCATTTGATTGCTGTGAGATATTTCATTATATGCATTTTATAGATGACCAAAACCATTATCAGTGAATCCAATTTATTTATAAACACCAAGAGCTCCTCTTTTCATTTCATGCAACAATCTGGTTATTTATAAGTTTGGGGTTAGGACATGGTATTGTAATCAGAGAAATTCTTTTGTTGTTAGCTTTTGTCCTAAACTGGCATAGAGTTTTTAACTGGGTTTTTTTTTTGTTGTTGTTGTGGGGCAACCTTCCATTAGAGCTAACCGTGTTGCAACGTGAGTTTGATTATTTGTGTGCTAGATGTTTGATTATACACCTGAACAAAGGTATAGTTATAGAATTTTGATTGTGCTAATTTATGTGATTGAATATTCTTTGTTCCAGTATCCTGTACCTTTGGAATCATTTGTGCTGGTATAATGGACATCCCTTGTGCTTATTGGATGCCTGATGCACAGAGCTTCCGATTCAACCACATCCCTCAGGAGTTGCTCAATGGACAATGATATCTAACCAGTCAGAGCTTCCAATTCAAAGGCTTCTGCAGTTGATTGATGTCTCGGATTCCCGTCAGCCTCCAAACTTAAGACGAGAATGAACATGTCCAAAAAAGGCGAGCAGTAGAGACGTTAGCTGAATTCCAGAAGGTGAAGGACCATTATTGCATCAAGCCAATGCTTAATTAGGTTCTCTGGACCTGGCAGGGAGCCTGTACAACAATACATCCATATGAAATGTTTAATGCGAGGAGGGTTTCGAAGTTTCTAAATGTGCTTCCAAATATAATCTGTGCTTTAGGTAGCCAAAAATTCCCAGACATGATCTGTTGCCATGATTTTGGGTGGACTTGCTTGAAAATTATTGAATGGAGCAGAGACAAGAAAGAAAGTGCAGTTTGGTTTTGTGAAATTGTTATGCTATGTATTGTCCTTGATGTTGTACTCATACAAGTAAAGATCAAATGGTATATTTGATTCAATTTGATCATAGATGTGGAAAGCCAAATAGTGGCAAGGGTGAACTTGGAAGTATAGTTTCATAAGGTAAAAACAAAAGAGTTTTTATAAGAAGCTTTAACCATTTGATTAACCAGTACTAAAAGAAAAATCCATGCAACTAGCAAATCAAATACACCTCAAAATTTCAGAAAATAAATGCCAAATTCAGGTAGTAAGAAACAAGGACTTCAAAGTTTGGATCGAATTGATGTCAAGAACATAACCAAATTCGCAATATAGAAAGAAAAAAAGAAGGAATAACAATAACAATAAAGTACCCTTTAGAGAGAATCATCAAAAAGTTGGTAACTCTGAGAGGCCATTGAGCGGAAACCAATCCCACCAATCCAGAGAGAAGAAAGAAAAATAAGAAGAGCGGACAAAGGGAATAAAGAGAGGCAAGTTGAGAGAAAGCTCTCAAAGATGTGTTAATAGAGTGATATGGAGAGATAGAAAGAGAAGTGAAATGGCAGCAGAAGAAGAAGAACTAATAATTAGAAATTCTGCCGGTATTAGTACTCCTAAACTCTGACTAATACCACTCCTAATTTCTATCAAAACTTGAAGCTCATAGAGTTCAAATACCAGATTATATGCATATTCTCCAAAGGTCACCACAGAGTTCAAAGTTGATGTTAGCAAATAAGATCCACGGGCAGGTCAAATCATAAACTTGAATACTGTGTATTACACTAAGACGGTTAGTTGAGCCAACACAGATTCAGGGGAAGTTTAATTCTCTAAAACAACTCCAAATTTAGGTCAGCCTCTAACATATTCTTCTTCGTATATGAAAGCAAAAACAACATAAATTTAACAACAAACATGTGTTAAATTTCAACCTAAAGAATGTAGGTCCTGCAAGGCTCATGCTAAATTATCTTTTGGTGAGGTGTTCTGTTGATGGAAGTGAGTGTTTTCTGTTACTCATGAGTTATGCCTAGTTGTACCCCCTCTTCTCAGCCTATGAATTGTGAGTAGCTCCACTTTTGTAGAGAAGTCAATTTCAAACTGCATCCGAGCCGATAATTTTGTTTGCTAAAGTAAACTACATATCTGTCAGACTATGAAGTGCAGGTTCTAACTTGCACGAACATGTTTGAAACCTAGGTATCCCAGCTAATTATTTCAGCTGTAAGGACAATGAAAGGAGTCGTCTGTTTAATGAATTTGAAAACATTTGGCTTCTTTGATTTGTTTATCTTTTTGTTTTTTATTCCAATTGCTGAGACCTAAATGGGGATCATATATTAGTTTTCAGGACATCATTTTTGAATAAATAGTATCATTAATACAGATGGTAGAGGGTAGGAGGTTGGTTAGAATGGGTGGGAAATTACCATAAAGTCGGGGAGTTTAAAACCTTGTTGGGAACTTTTTATATATTGTTTTTCGAAGAGAGTATCAATTTTTTATAACAGTTTGCATATGTCTTTCCTTTCCCAGTTTGTAGATTTACGTATTAATATATGACTGAGACTAATATGGATCACAGGTTCCCGAACGAGCTGCAGCAGCCGCTGTTGCTGCTCGAGTTCTCGCTTCTCTTCCACCGCATCAGAGATATAGTTTGGCTTCGAGTTCTGAAGAATTGAGCTCAATCTATGGAAGCAGTCCTAATATTAAAATTCCAGAGGAATTGGAAGAGGAATTCTATGGAGAGGTGATTTCTAATGTAGCTACCTTTAAGTTCTGTTAGAGATTCTTATTAACTAAATTTAATGATTTAGTTCAGTTTTTCTTGATCTGGTAACTAGATGTGGTTTGTTTTGATTTTGGGAACGCATCAGCTGATCAATAGTTCGAACTTGGCGGTCTTCCATTTCTTTTACCGTTTCTCCAAGTTTGTGAAGATCTCATTCCATATAAAATTTTTCTTTAGGTTGAAATGTTGTATCAGGTTAACCAAAAATTTGAAAAAAAAAATGTTGGTATCACTGACGAGCTGTTCCATAATTTGGTGAGGATTTGTAATACTCAGTTTGATTTGGGTTTAGACTGTCTCACTTCAAAGCTAAATGTTGTGCAAAGATAACATTTGCTGGTGTAGGTTACAATCTAACTGACCCAAATGAAATGTTACAAGACTAACTAATGAGTAGCTTGAATTTGTTCATGTTTGGCATTATCTTGGTAGTGAAGTAATTTGCAAGATTCATTTTGGTAACCTTAAGTTGTATATCATGCATATGACAGCACCTTCGCATGTGCTTTAAATTTTGAAAGGCAATTCTTGGTATTTTTATTCTTTAAAAAATAAAAATAAAATAAAATAAAATAAAAATGAAAAAATAAAAAAATTGGATGGCCCCAACAAGAATTGAACCCTCGACTTCCAGGTAATAACCATCGCCAACCTAATCCCCGAACCACCCCACCCAACCCTTACTATTCATTTGTTAATGATTTTATGGTATTTTTTGGTACTCATTTCTTCTTGATGTTTAAGGTCAATGGGAAAAGTCGAGTCTTTATTTGTGACGTTTCGCTAATTTAAAGTGGCTTACTGATGGCCATATTTCGTAATATTTTTCCTTTTATAACTGATGGCTATCATTTTTCTGACGTAGGAGTTCGACCCAGTTAGGCATGTCTTAGAGAATATTCCATCTGAAGAGACTGATCTAGCATATTTTGAGGAACAGGTAATGAATAACAGACTACTTTTTGTATTCTTTCAGATCCTTAATGCTTTATGCTTCTTGTTCTGCAATCAAGAATGTATGAAGGATGATGGTTTGCATATTTTTTTACGTTTTCCATGTAGACCATCTAGTATACTTAATTGGTTCATGTAACATAACATTCGTTGGGAAACATTGTGTTAGCGTGGAAAATTGGTATTAATGGAAAGAGAGTGAAAATCTTTGACATCATAAGACTGAACTGTTGGGATTTCTTTGTACAACAAACCCCAAGAAATGTCAAGCAACTACGACATTCGTTGTGAATCTCCTGCAACTTTCTATTGTGAGTTTAGGCGCTGAGAAAACCATTATAATGAATTTTCGTAGTTTGGCATGTATACCTCTATTACACATGGCAAGGTACCTATTGATCAGGGTTCTATCTTGATCCTTCAAGCCTGGAGAACTAATTTAAACTGCCATTCACCTATTTATTTACAACATGTAACTTAATTTTTTATGAAGGCGACTGAGTTTAAAATTTTTTACATATAAATCATTTGGTTCACCGGAATGTGTTGTGCGCATAAATAATTTTTTATGAAATCCCGCTGTAAATAAACCACGGATGCCGAAAGGCCCCAAGTATATGGGGATCTAATAACCCAGACTGCACATTATGACATATCAACAGTTTAGAATTTCCCTTTCTGACAGTTAAAGATGGCATGATAAGGTTCTCAACCCTTTCTCATTATGTCTCTCTGTGTTTTACGACAACTATACTTTGAACCTGAAATTTCATCTCTTTTCTTTATTAACTCAAGATTGGCTCTTTTCGTGATTCGGATATGAGCGTTCGTGCATTCTTGACTATCAATGCATCATGCACTTCCTCTCTTACACAGGGTGCTTTATGTTGCTAACTGCTTTTTGCATTCTGATATTTTCAGGCTGCTGTGAGATTAGCACAGTTAGATAAAATATCTGAGCGATTATCACGTCACGTTATGGAACATCATGAAGAAATGGGTAATAGTTAGTTACCTTGCCGGCCACTATGATTGCACATTCAGTGAAGATAAGATTTACTTAACCAGTTCTGTATGCTTTATTGTGCTTAAAATTGGAGAGATTTCAAACATACTTATTTGCAGATTCCTTCCTAACACCTGTAATCATTTTCAAGTAGAGATGTTTGGGCCCTTTATTCTACATTAACTTAACACCCCGTTTACATCACCAAACCTAATTACAGTTTGAGGTCTTCCCCTCATTTGTATCTGTGTCAGATGATTAGCTTGAAAAATGGCTACCAGTAAAAGATTTTGGGTTTCCATCTCTCCTTTCTTATGCTTGTTAATGTGTTAATATACATTTGATAAAGTTACTTCCAGCATGAAAGCGACATTGAGTGACCTTCCTCTTCTAAATTCCCTTGTTTACTGTCATAGAGGGTCTGGTTACCTGTTTGTTTCTTGTATGTATTGTTTCCAGCTTCTTCTATGATGTTATGTTATGCAAGTATCCTTCACATATGTCCGTAACATTTGATTCATTTCCTAGTGAAGGGAATGAATTTGGTGAGGGAGTTGGAGAAGGACTTGAAGGTTGCAAATGTCATTTGCATGGTAAGCAGATAACTATAATTAACTTCTCTGAAGGTTGCAATGTTAATGTGTATATAAGCCTATGGAGCAGGATGCTCAAATAATACTAATAAATCTGTTATCGTGAGATTATGGATGTGAACTCGTGAAGGTATTAATATCATGACTTGTCTCTTAAAATGTCTGTAGAATGGACGAAGGCACCTTATCTCCTCAAGGAATGAAGTGTCAAGGGATCTCGTTGTTACTAAAAGTTCTAAGAAGAAGCAGGCGCTTCTGGTACTTTTTCAAACTTCATCACAATCTTTAAGCTTCTCTATTTTTGGTTATTTCATTAACTGCAAGCAGATGATTGTTGGAATGAAAAAATGTATTGTAGTATTTCCTTTTTTGTTTGCTCATATGTAAAATGTTTTTTAGATTTGCTTCTTCAATTGGTTCCTTTCAGTATTGTTAGCCCACCCATCATAAGCCGAGCTTAATTTTGAAGAATCTCAGTAATTTTTGCAACCTGCAGGACATTCTTCCAGTTGTGACAGAGCTTCGCCATGCATTAGAAATGCAAGCAGCTCTGGATTCTCTCGTTCAAGAAGGAAACTTTTCAAAGGTTTCACTTTGCTTTGTACTTGTTTCGTATCCTAATTCATGTTCCAAGGAAATTAATATTTAATCATTCTAGAACATGTTATAAACTGAGTTACTGAACTCGTGATAATTGATGTGCAGGCATTTCAAGTGCTATCAGAGTATTTGCAACTTTTAGAAAGTTTGTCGGAGCTTTCGGCTATACAAGAAATGAGTCGTGGTGTTGAAGTGAGTAATTGCATAGAATCTATTGAAAGAAATTCATGAAGAACTCCAATTCCGCTAGATCTTACCTTTTCCCTGTAGTTATATAAAACTTTCTCCATTCTTGCAGGTTTGGCTCGGTAAAACTCTTCATAAGCTAGATTCACTTCTGTTGGGAGTTTGCCAGGACTTCAAAGAAGATGGATACGTTACTGTAGGTCTCGCTTGTGGCGTATAAGTACCTATGTTAGGTAGCTGAAATTACTTTATTTAGCTTCCTTTGGCTGTTTATCCAATATCCAGTTCTCTTTTCTAGATAGTGGGGGTCACCCTTTTCCTTGTCAAACATAAGAAACTTGTACCTAGCTTTTCAGTACTTGGTTTGTTGCATTCTTCTACATGCTTTTTGCTTGCTTGTCACTGCACCAAATATAACTGAGTAATTTCTTAATATCTTCTCTGTGGTCTGCAGGTGCTTGATGCTTATGCATTAATTGGAGATGTTTCTGGACTTGCTGAGAAAATACAAAGCTTTTTCATGCAGGAGGTTATCTCCGAAACACAATCTGTCTTGAAGACTAAAGTGATGGAGGTATGCTATATGATTGATAATCTCTACTTTTTATTAGACTTCTAAATCTTGCCAATTCTTTATACACAGCTCTTTTCAACTATGCAATCCCTAAAGTCTTTGCGCCAAAGGCAATCATCAAGTTGAAGCCAACTTTATGCTGTATAATAGGATACTGCTTATCATTTTCATTGTTTTGTTAATCCACATAAGAGAAGTGACCCGAAAAAACAGAAAGATTGCATTGTCATTTTCGTTGTTTTGTTAATCCACATAAGAGAAGTGACCCGAAAAAACAGAAAGATTGCATTGTACAATCTTTCTGTTTTTCGGGTCACTTCTCTTATGTGGATTAACAAAACAATGAAAATGATAAGCAGTAATTACAATTTATTTATAAACAACCCTTATGTTCAAACATGTCTAGCAAAATGGTTAATCAAACTCACGTTGCAACACGGTTAGCTCTAATGGAAGGTTGCCCCACAACAACCAAAAAAAAAAACCCAATTAAAAACTCTATGCCAGTTTAGGACAAAAGCTAACAACAAAAGAATTTCTCTGATTACAATACCATGTCCTAACCCCAAACTTATAAATAACCAGATTGTTGCATTAAATGAAAAGAGGAGCTCTTGGTGTTTATAAATAAATTGGATTCACTGATATTGGTTTTGGTCATCTATAAAATGCATATAATGAAACATCTCACACGCAATCAAATTGACTCCCATTTCTAACACAATTGAGTGACACCACTACAACTCAAATTAAATTCAACGCCAAGACATGTTCCTCTGATTCCAAATATTGATTTGAAGTTCTTCTAAACTATAACTTAAGGAAAATTCCATGCGAATCCCATATCATTACAACCACATGAAAAAATTTAAAGAATCAAGATATATCCAGTTCTTACTGCAAATTAGACTTTTCAAAATTTCATTCAACTGAAACTTGCAATAATTCACTATTTAAATAGTTGAAGCACTATGATTCAATGTCAAAATCCTTAATTATAGACAATAACTTTAGGTTACTCGGATCAAACACATCATGGTACGGGAAAGCTTCATCAAGAAATAAAAAGCCCAATTAAGACCCTGAATGAACTTCTTACTAAGTTCATCATTGAATTACTAAAATTATCAATAAAATAACATACTGGTTGAGCTCCAATTTCCAAAACCAAATTAAATAAAGTCTGGACAATAATCAAAGAAAACCAAATGAAAACTTGGAGAGAATAAGATTCTCTTTTGAACAACAAATCAAAAGTAACTTGATACACTCATTTGAACCATGGAATTGGCTGCTTTATGGAGAAAAAAGACTGCAGTAATCCATTAACTCTACATCCTCTTACATTTTCAGTCAAACTAAATTGAGTATGTCAAATTCTTATTTTAGCAGTCCCTTAATCATTTTCAAACTGGCTAATTTTTGTAACAGAGGAAGAGTGCACACCCGTATTGCTTCGCATGCACCAAAAAGCAAACACTTTTCGAAAAAAATAATGACAAGCAACAGGATATTTTTTCCGCCAAATATAGGCCAAAACCAATGCAAAAAATTTCTCTAATACCAATAATCAAACAATCACTAAATTGCTGCCATTTGGCTAATTTATTGCAATTTTATTGGAATCATAATCAACCGTGTACACAATATGTTCAAAATGTAATAGTGGATAATAAATAAATTATAATCACTCTTCTAAAATAATTTTCGTGTCTCCAGTTCTTTCCTTCATGTAATCGGTCTCCAGTGGGAGCAATGAATATAAAATTAGTTGCTGAAACCTTTGAGACTTTTCTCCCGATTCCAATTTCATCCCAGCATCTTCTTCGTTCTCCAATCTTCATCCTCTGACCAACAATTCCCAAATCCTGATTCGCCGACCTTCATTTCCATCACTCACCATCATCCTCTTTCTGTACCTTCCTTTATAGAGATTAATTACAGAAACCAAAAGAGAGGGACGAGGAAGAAAAGCTAAAAGAAAGAGAGAAGGGAAAAGGGCCGAGTGAGGAGAAGAATGATAAGGGGAAGGAAATCCAATCCATTGATTAACTTGTTTGGCTGCTAAAGCAACAGAAATCGAGATGCGTTAGGATTATAAATGGACATTAGAATGAGGTAAAAGCACTTCCTTATTGATAGGCTTATCGGATTTAGTTCGAAGAATCTGAAAAATATATGTTTCCTATTTAAAGCTTTTGTCCTCTAATTGCATGAAAGGTGTTTGAATTTTGGTCTAAATGAGCTTCTTTTAAAAGTGAGTCTACGTAATTAATTTGTAAAGCCAAGTCTTTGGTTGAAATCTGGTGTTTGTTAGTCTGGATCGTATGCATGTATGATTTGTACCAATGTATAAGAGACGTACTATGATTTCTTTGAAATGCTAGGCTCAGTTGTCAAACAAGACTTCCACTTCTGGAAATTAAAAAATGGTTCTAATTTGATCCATTTACTTCAAACCCCACAATTAAGGTAGAAGGAAATCGATGCTCACTAAAATCCAACGAAAATGGAAGAGAAAAACTCCGTAAATTGTAGTGTTTTGTTCTTCTACTCTAGATGATTAATCTAGTCTCCACAACATATTAAACTCAGATGCGCAAGTATCAATCAAATTTGAGGAACCCAACCGATCATTTTGTTGAAGAATCAAGTTGACCCAACAAATAATTTCTTCAAATCTCTAATAAATTAATTGCAGGTTCCCAATCATTAGGAACCTAGAGAGAGAAATTTCTCACCTTACTGACCTCTATATTGGGGAAAACAACGCCGATGTATCCTGAAAATTGGTGGATGACGTCAGCAACATAGTAGGAGGAAGATTTCCGACCTGCACAATCGGAATCACAAGACAGATCATGTCATTGTGTGTTCACCGTTGGGTGTTTATTAATGTCTTAAATTAATGATGATGTTTCACCAAAAAAAAAGTTAGGACTTCAAATCAGCCAGAATATACAGTCAATTGGGATTAATCTGTTGTTGAACTTGCTAAACTGTGCATCAATTGAATAACTGCTGAATGATAGAAACTTCTTGGAACTACCCCCCCAAAAAAAAAAGACAACTATTTACATTTATCTGAAATGCTGGTATTTTACCTCCACAGTTGCATATTATGCTTCATTTTACAAAATCTAAGTTCATTTGCATTTCCACACATCGGTATTGACATAAAACATAAAGGTTCTTCCTTCAGGCTTAATATATACATGGAATTATAGCATAACGCTCTCTAGGGTAGTTGTCAAATTTTCTTAAATACCATTGTTGAGTATCTGCTGCTGCAAACACAAGATTCGCCACCTGAAATCAGAATGATTCAAGCAAAAATTAATCATTGGCATTGATACAAGACCTGAAGAGAACTAACTTTCATAACCAAGAAGAAACCAGGGGAAAGGAAGTCTTATGACAAAGATAAAAAGCAACCACACTGTAATGTCAGAGCATCCACTAGCAACCAGAATACCAGCATATATCACCTTCAATATCATGAAAACTCAACATATAAGAAATTTTTTATCAACTGTTACAGATATCATGTTTCTGATAAAAGAATTATCATGTTTCTGATAAAAGAATAAAAGGAAAAAACAAGGAAACAGATTTCAGAGGCAGAAGGTTTGCACAAAAACGGAAAGTAGACATACTATCTCAGCTAGGTAATGAGGGCATGAAACATATCTGAACCAATCACCGTAAGGAATCACATAATCATCACTGCTTCCGATTTCTCTCGCACTAAACCCTGTTAACGAAATGCAATTATAAGACTGCTCAGTAACTTCTTCCCAAACCATAATATTACCTTAAAAGAAGAGTCTTTGTAAACAATGTTACAAACCTTGATATTGTTCTAAAAATGGAAATGGGCACATAAAACTTCAACAAAAAGTGACCAATGTTGAGAAGCTAAGGGAAAAAGTTTGATGGATGTAGGTTTGGACATAAAAATTCGAATTGCTCTATTTTGTAAGATAAATCGATGCGAGTATGTTTTACAGAATTGATGCAACGGAATTCCATAAAATCCCGATTACAAAAAGTTTCTAGTTAAACTTACGAGAAAGGCATGGCATCGACGCTGATGAATCCATCCTAGCTGAAGAAAAATTGCCCCTAACCAAGCATGACATTTGAGCTTTAGAAGAGGGTTCACGAACCCCCACAAATTAGTTTCAGTGACTTGCATATGATCCTTTCCCTTAACTATGAACTCTTGAATCAAGTTCAAGGGGTAATGGAACACTTCGGCCATGTAAGTACAACAAAGTGATAATGGAGCAGCCGCATAAAAACTGATATCACAAAAGACAATGAAAGGTTAATCAAACTTGGGTTATAGTAATGTCACTGCCAATTTTGTGGTTAATTGTGTGGAAGATGTCACTGCCAATTAGTTGCTGAAAGCATCGAGACTATTCTCCCGATTCCAATTTCTTCCCAGCATCTTCTTCGTTCTCCAATCTTCATCTTCCGACCAACAATTCCCAAATCCTGATTCACCGACCTTCATTTCCATCATTCACCATCATCCTCTTTCTGTACCTTCCTCTATAGAGATTAATTACAGAAACCAAAAGAGAGGGACGAGGAAGAAAAGCTAAAAGAAAGAGAGAAGGGAAAAGGGCCGAATGAGGAGAAGAATGATAAGGGGAAGGAAATCCAATCCATTGATTAACTTTTTTGGCTGCTAAAGCAACAGAAATCGAGATGCGTTAGGACTATAAATGGACATCAGAATGAGGTAAAAGCACTTCCTTATTGATAGGCTTATCGGATTTAGTTCGAAGAATCTGAAAAATATATGTTTCCTATTTAAAGCTTCTATCCTCTAATTGCATGAAAGGTGTTTGAATTTTGGTCTAAATGAGCTTTTATAAAAGTGAGTCTACGTAATTAATTTGTAAAGCCAAATCTTTGGTTGAAATCTGGTGTTTGTTAGGCTGGATTGTATGCATGTATGATTTGTACCAATGTGTAAGAGACGTACTATGATTTCTTTGAAATGCTAAGCTCAGTTGTCAACCCAAATTTTTGATTAAAATCTGGTGCTTCTTCCATTGGATTACATGCATGTATGATCTGTATAGATGTGTTTAACTCACATGTGTTTAACTCGCATGACTTCATCAATTCTGCACTTCACTTTAAGACATGCACCACATTAGAACCCTTATACATGAAATGATGCCCCTGATTCTGAATTTATTAAGATTTTTTCCCCTTCTTAAGTTTCAATCTAATTGAAATTATTCTACTTATATAGCTAAATACTTTATTATTTAGCAAGGTGTGATTATTTCACTACAAATGAAATGCTCATGTTCTTTTTCGATAGATTACACTCCCTAATACAATTCTTAATTCTAACACAGTTTCATTTTGGTTTGATTACAAAATGGTGAAAAGGGCTTGTTACTTTAGAATTGTAAACTTCAACCTTTTAATTTTGATGGTTACAGATTATGTAATATAAGAATTCGGAAAGGTTAGATTTACTCAAATTTTGATTTCAAGCTCCGGTATGTCTTATTTAGTTGAAGTTTCTGTATTCTTGCTAAAATTGTGTTTATATATAAGGAAGCATTTAGCCTGAGGACCATGTTTGTTGTTAAATTTATGTTGTTTTTGCTTCCATATACGAAGATGAATATGTTAGAGGCTGACCTAAATAAAGAGAGGCAAGTTGAGAGAAAGCTCTAACATATTCTTCTTCATATATGGAAGCAAAAACAACATAAATTTAACAACAAACATGGTCCTCAGGCTAAACGCTTCCTTATATATAAACACAATTTCAGCAAGAGTACAGAAACTTCAACTAAATAAGACATACCGGAGCTTAAAATCAAAATTTGAGTAAATCTAACCTTTCCGAATTCTTATATTACATAATCTGTAACCATCAAAATTAAAAGGTTGAAGTTTACAATTCTAAAGTAACAAGCCCTTTTCACCATTTTGTAATAAAACCAAAATGAAACTGTGTTAGAATTAAGAATTGTATTAGGGAGTGTAATCTATCGAAAAAGAACATGAGCATTTCATTTGTAGTGAAATAATCGCACCTTGCTAATTAATAAAGTATTTAGCTATATAAGTAGAATAATTTCTATTACATTGAAACTTAAGAAGGGGAAAAATTCTTAATAAATTCAGAATCAGGGGCATCATTTCATGTATAGGGGTTCTGATGTGGTGCATGTTGTAATATCCTCAAATTTTGACATGTTAGGTTGATTAGGATTAGTTACTATTAAATCAAGGTCACAAAACTTTACTGTTAAAATATAGATATGATTTACCCTATTATAAATAATTAAATTAAATATCTTGATATTTAGCATAAGAATTAAAGATATTCGAAATATGAAACCGTCGTTGTAAAGTAACATTTTAGACTATATAATATTTAAATTATCGTAAAAGAAAATTAAAATAGTACATTTGTTTCTATATATATATGTGTGTGTGTATATATATACATACATACATGTATAAAATGAGAGTGATACATATACAAAGAGATATATAATAGTTTGAGTGGGAACTTTCGGGTAACTTGGAGTTAGTTTAACTTTTATTTTGGGAGTTATTTTAACTTAGGAACAAATGTTTCAAATTGCCTTCTAATCTAAAAAAATATTAGAAAGTACGTAGAAATACTAAGAAGTACATAGGAAGATGGCCCATGGTACAAGAATTGAATTGATAAAATGAAGTAAGACACAACCTCTTATTTATTGTAAAATTAATGGGTTTGGACTAGAATAAATTAGGAGTCTCTAACTATATTGAACTAACTATATGCATAGGGGATAAACATTAAGACAAGTCATGTAAGTAGAAGTTATCCAATTTGGTTTTGGAATTCTCTTTGACCAAAACATGCCGTGAAACCAAAGCTAGATTTGAAGCAAAATTAATTTCATTAGATATTGATTGAATGTACTAAGTAACCTACTCAAGTAAGCTCAGTACCTTTTCCATTTCTATTTATACATACATTTTACTTGCCATTGCCTCAAATAATTGGTCAAGCGTAAGACAAAAATTTCATGCTGGTCACAATGCCACCGCTCAAATATTTTAAAGATAAAGATTAGAATTAAAAATAAAAATTTATTAGATTATGAGAAGTAGGCCAAACCGTCTCACCTGTCAAAATAGTGTTAATTAGTGAAGTAATTTCTTTTAGCACTATAGGGATCATGAAATTTTGAAATAAATAAATTAAAAGAGAACAAACCGGTTTAGGATATATACTTTTGAGAAGACTTTAAATGTTTAATATGACATCTAACACTAGTTTTGTCTGATCACTAATGAATGAAGTGTTAGTAGTATAGCTTGGAGACAAAGGATTTACATAACCTTTAATTTAATGTTTTATTTTTCCTTTGACCGGGAATACATAGAAGTACATTCTGGACTTCTATATCATTCTAAATATTTATGGAATTGGAAGCATTACGGGACAAGATTGGCACCCCGTGATAATAGAGTTATCTAGAGACCTAATTTTATATTATAAAAATCTAAAATGAGGAAGTAATTGATAATGGCTAAATTGTTACATAAAAGCATCACAATTAACTTTGTATTTGATAAAAAATTGGGGGTATCTCCTAACATTGTTGCAATTTACTTAACTCGTTTTCATGTTGTTGTTAGGTAAGGGCTGGATTGAATAATTGCTGAAAATTGGAAGCCAAAGGAACAATTATGGGCTGCTGAGGCAAGGTTGCTGAGCTGGACGAAGAAGAAGGCCCTTAGACATGAAGCATCTTGTCATTAATGACTTTGCCTCCTCCTAGAGGCATGCTTGTCCCCTAGCCGCAATCTCAGCCACCACTGTTGATCAATGAGAGCAAGACGGCCACTGCTGGAAGAAGAGAAAAGGAACGGCCAAGTTGGATTGCAGGCTTAAGACATTGGGAGGATTAAACAACTCCAAGTATGGGGAGGCTCTCATGATGAAGACACCGGTTGCAAGGCCCTATAAAAGAGGGAACTGTACTCTCAAATGGGGGATCCATCTCAATCTCTGGTTACCCTTTCAGTTGCTAAAAACACCCAGAAAAACTCCAGGTAGAAGGCAAGAAGAAAGAAGAAGCAGCAACAACTCAGTGAGGAAGCCAAGTTAAAGATTAACAACCCAATTTCTTCTTCAGTTCCACGAGTGAACCCCTTCACTCCCAGGAGTGGCTCAGAAACTGCACAAGCTTTCTTCTCATCTCTTGACTGTTAGCTTGAACTTTGTTTACCATGCATACTTTTATGATGTCTTTTGATGTAGTAGATGTAGCATTAATCCGTATGAGTAGCTAAACAGTTCCCAGGGGTTATTCTCCTCGACTGATGTTGTAGTTGTTAAGGCACTGGTTTTGTTCCTTGTTTTATGGTTGAAAGTTTTTCTACATTCATTTACTTGATCACTAAATTGAATGCATGCTAGAACTAAGGGAGATCTGGAAAGATAAACTTGGTTTGGATTGTTTCAACTTTAACTTATGACATAGAGGTAACAGTCTATGGTTTTAACTAAGATAGGAATATACTTAGTTGACATAAGCATTCTTGAAGGCCTAAGAACTTAAAGACTTTGTAACTGGAATCAATCATTGGAAAATAGATTGTTAAGGTTGCAAAGATGACTCTAGAAAAAATTGGAACGCACTTAGAGTTATAAGTGAGCTGAATGAACAAGAACGTAACCATTACAGTGCTCATAAAACAACTACAACAATAGGAAGAGGAGAAGACACCCCTGGCTTTTATTCCCCTGAGTGACTGTTTTCATTCCCCTGAGTGACACCTTGTCTGACTGGTAGTCTTTGTTTACAACAAAATTGGTAATTAGATGTCCTCGTGGGATCGACCTAGCTTCCATTATCTACAAAAATCATAATCTAAGCTAGTAATATTTTTGGTGAACTCGGCACGCACCAGAAAGTAGCGCCGTTGCGGGGGACGGCGTAAAACCTCCAAAAATTTGTTGTTTTTGTTTGTTTGTACATATATAAAATTCTTCTCTAAGTGAGCTGTCCGAATCCAAGGCAGAAGTATGTGTATTATGTGAAGGATCCCACAG